CTTTCTAAGAGATGGGGAGAGAGATGTGGGGGAGGGGCAGAGGGAGAGGGAGAGACAGTCCCAAGCAGGCTCCACACTGAGTGCAGAGCCCAATGCGGGGCTCAATCTCATGACCCTGAGATCATGACCTGAACTGAAATCAAAAGTCGGATGACTGAGCCACTGAGGTGTCCCGTGTCTGGCTTTTAATTAAAGTCTACTCCAAAACTTAGCAAGCCCCATCTGCCCTTCTCCCAGTTCCAAGCTCATGTTTTTGGAAAAAAGAAAAGTTGCACATCAGACAAGAGGAAGAGATGAGGATGGGAAGAGGAGACGTGAGAGGTAGAGTGAAGAAACCGAAAACTTTTAGCCCTGGTCTGATCCCCAGGTCTTCCAAAGCTAAACTGAGGCCTGACAGGATGCTTTTCATTACAAGGGATCAGATATAACATGCAAAGTGCCCCCTCCTTGCAAAGGTTACATATAGTACAACCTGCCACGTTGCTCCACGAGCATACATGTTTAAAGTCCTGAACACTGGTTAGAAAGGCTTAACTCCATTTCTCAATCCTTTTACATAGATATTCATTCATGCATGCATGTATTCATTCATTCATTCATTCATTCATTCAATGAGTAGAGAGCCTATGTATGAGCCAGGCACATAGCACTAAAAGACCATAAAACACACAATGTGGCCCCTATTGAAATAAAAACAAAACTAAAAACTGGTAACTGCTATGAAGGAGGGGTTTAAAAGTATGTTATAAATGCCAGAATGGGTGTGAGGAAATGATGTTCCAAAGAGGTGACGTCTAAGCTGAGATGCACAGGAAGAGCTTTCCAGGCAAAAGGAAGAGCAATGTTGAAATCCTAAAGTAAGAGACATGACAAGAAGAGCACAGTAGAGGTCTAAGTGGTGAAATGGGCAACAGTTAAGAGAAGGATGGGAAGTCCCTGCAAAGCGATGCAAGGGAGGGATAAGACCTAATGCGAGTGTATCAAGATCCCTGGCTGCTGGTGACCAAGGAAGGCTGAATGATGCCAGCTGGCTTGTAGGACAGGTGTTAGAAAACTTTTTCTGTAAAGGGCCAAAAGGAAATATTTCAGGCATTGTGAGCCAAGAGACAAAATCATCGATGTTATGTAAGTATAATATAACAACAAAAAAAGATGACAAAACTTCACAAAAATTTTTAATGGCATTCAAAATATAATAATAATAATAATGGTAATTGAGTATTATTTTAAAAATACAGGCTAATTAGAGAGAAAATGAAATTATTTTGGGGGGAATAACAAGTTATTTCATTGGTTTTCAGCCACTGTAGCACAAAAGCAGCAGACAATATAAATGAAAAAGCATGGCTGCAGTCCAATAAAACCTTATTTATGAGCTGAAATTTGAATTTCATATAATTTTCATGTGTCATAGTGTTTTTCTTTGGATTTTCTTCAACCATTTGATAAAGTAAAAACTATTCTTAGCTTGTGGGCTGTATAAAACTGGACAGCGGGCTCCATTCTTATTTGCCAACCTCTATTGTTGAAGACCCCACATCTGGATACATCTAACTGATTGCTCAGAGTGTATTTGTTTTTGGCAGGTGTATTTGTTTTTACAGAGCAGTGCTATGTATTTGCCGTTGCATCACAGCAAAGGCCTTGGGATATAATGTCATTCCATTATAGGTGATACTAAGATTACCATTTTATTTACTTATTTTTAAAGATTTTATTTATTTGAGAGAAAGAGGGAGAGCACACACACACACACACACACACACACACACAGACACAAGCAGGGGGAGGGGCAGAAGGAGAAGTAGAAGCAGACTCTTCACAGAGAAGGGAGCCAAAGGGGTGGGCGGCTCAATCCCAAGGCCCCAAGATCACGACCTGAGCTGAAGGCAGACACCTACCAGACTGAGCCACCCAGGCGCCCCTAAGATTACAATTTTAAAGGTACATTTTGCAGCTTTGTAATTACAAGTAATCTGGGTGATACTTAGAATCCCGTGAACATCCTGTTCCCCCAAAAACTTTCACTGAGTGGTTTTAGCTTTCACAGATGATCCTTGCCTGAGTCAATCATGACACTGGAAGTTACAAAATAATTTTGATATGACTTTGAATTGGCTTCCTACTATGCCATTATATGGATTACATAATCATTTTTTAACGCAATCTCCTGATATGAAAATTTTAGATTCTTTTCTTTCTTTTTTGGTTGCTATTATAAGTGTTTAATTTATATCCTGTAGATAAATGTTTATGTACACCTATCATTAGTTTCTTTTTTTTTCCTTGAAAATTCAGTCATTTGAGAGAGAGAGAGAGAGAGAGAGCACACAAGTGAGTGGGGAAGGGGCAGAGGGAGACAATCTTTAAGCAGACTCCTTGTTAAGTGTGAAGCTGACTTGGGGCTTGATCTCAAAACCTTGAGATCATGACTTGAGCCAAAACCGAGTTGGATCCTTAACTCACTCTGAGCCACCCAGGCACCTCCATCTATTTCTTAGAGAAAATTACTTGGAGTAAAACTGGGTCATAGAGTCTAGCCATTTTTTAAAGGGTTTTCATCTATATTAACAATTTGTGCTTTACGGAATTATACCAAGTTTTGTTCCCATTAAGAACGATTAGTGCCTGGTTCCTGACATTTAAGAGCCAACACTTAAAGAATACCATCACCAAACTGATAGATGAAAATGGTTTCTCATTATTTTAACTTGTGTTTATTCAATTATAGTGAGGTTGGAACATTTGTATTTCTTTCACCTGGTCGTATCCTGTACTCATTTTTCTATTCATCCTTTAAATATTGATCTATAAGAGCCCTTTCTATACTAAGGATGTTAATTCTTTGCCTTTAATATGCATTGTACATATTTTTCCCAGATTGTAGAAAAATGCCTTTAAAAATATTAAAATTTACATGATTATTTTCCTCTTCGAAAAAATTTAGGAATGGGGCAGGTAATGCAAAAAATTAACCAAATGTAGAATTATTTTTGTTTATTATGAACTTTAGCATCTTTAAAGAACTGCCTAATGAAACTTAAAATTTTATTGTCAATATTCAAAATTCTCTTCTGATCTTTGCTACATATATATATATATATATATTATATAGCTGATTTCACTATGCACAAAATGTGTTTTGTTTTTAATCCATCATTCCATATCTGCTTTCCATAATCAGCACAGTTATAAATACAATTTTTAATTAACTCTAGGATATAATGCAATTTTTAATTAACAGCATGACTTAATAAATTTCATTTAGTTCTCATAAACCATTTAAGATCCAATTTTTCATTAGAATAAATAGCATTGCTGTGAATATCCTTACATAAATTCTTTTTGATTCCTTTAGAGTTAAGTTCTTAAGTCAATCTCAAAAACAAAACTACTCAATAACCAGAGGAAAAAGCACGATGCATTTAGGTTTTTCTTGTTTTCTGCCAGAGAACACTCCAGAAAGACTCATTCAACATGTACTGAGTCCCAGGTATTTGAGTGTCACCGGCAGTGTTTAAAAGAGCTTATTTCCCCAAATCTCCAACAATATGGGTTTTGATAAGTTTATTTATTCTGGCTAAGTTTACAGTGTTGTGTATTGTGGTATCTGAAGTTCTTGGAAGTGACACTTTCTCAGTGCAGGCAAGTCTGTGCAAGAGCCACATGATAGTCCCGTGTATACTTCCTTCACTTATAAACTCCATCTCCTTTATCAACTTTGTGGGATCAAATTCAGCAGTGGAATTCCAACACATATTTCTATACTGGTTAGAGAGCTTTTAAATATAATTTACATTATGTGTTTTCTTTCCACTCTCTTCAAGAGCAAGAGCCAAGTTTGAGGCAGGTCTGTGTCCGTGGCACATCAGATATGGACAGCATGCAAAGCTAACATCATAGAGGGTGGCACCCAGGCATGCCCTCGCTCCCATCAGGGGAGGATGGCAGGTGAGGCTCTATTCCTGGCTTCCGCTGTTGTTTCATACCACCCCAGGCAGCCCTGTCTCTGCATGCCCACATCACCATGGCATTCGTATCCTCGTATCCTTCATCTTCCACTGGAAACAGGAGCCGTGGTCAGTGCTAGACCTGGCTCTCTGCAGTGGCCCGTGGAATGAAGGCTGAGGGGTAAGAAGTGCTCTAGGTTTTCCTCAGAAGAAAGGTTCATTGACAGTATTAAGCACAAATATTCTTCTAAGATGACGGGGGAATGACTGCACTTCTGGGGAAGATTTGGCAAAGTCTTGAGACATTTTTGATTGGGACAATCGGGGGGTGCTACTGGCATCTAGGGAGTAGAGGCCAGGGATGTTCCTAAACAACCTACAATGCACAGAACAGCCCTCCATGACAAAAATGATCTGGACCTGAATGTCAGTGGTGCCAAGGTTGAGAAATCCTTCTTCTAAAACAAAGCAACTGCCCTCTGTGCCTCTCCTAAACCCAAACTATTAAACCAAAAAAGAGTATCCAGTAATACAAACTGCAATGGACTGAACTCTGGCTTGTGTAGATAGGGAAATTTCCTTTGGGATTTATGTTTCACTGTGGCATTTCATAGGACGCTTCTCTTACGTGGGCCTAGAACTAGGCCACTGAAGCCCCAGCAACGTTACCACCATCCAGGTGGGCACTGGAAGCTGACTCTGCAGCACGGTCCACACTACTGTGCACTTGTCCCCATGGCCTCTCATCTGAGGTTCCAGTGAGATGGGAGAGCTAGTTAGGGAGTCTCAGGAGGCCTGTATGGAGCAGCAGGAATCAGAGAAGAAATTATGCAGACGATTGTATGGGACACTGAGATGCTGCTGAGAAATAGGGAGAGAAATACCTGGCCAGGCTGGCTTGGAATCAGACCCTGGAGCCCCCAGACCCAGCTCCTAAGATGGGGAGCTAAGGTGGTGGCCGGTTCTGAACATTTAAAACCCTTCTGCCCAGGTGTATCCAAAGCAGCTTATGCTCAACAGTAACCCAGACTGAAAAACAACAGGTCTTACCGGGGGCGCTGGTGGTGGGGGAGGAGGAGGGGCCCCCAGCGGTGGGGGAGGGGGAGGCAGAGGAGGAGGTGGTGGCGGCGGTGGCACCGGCATATGTCACAGCGTTGGCGTCTCTTTGCTTCTGAATGGTCCCAAGAGAACGGTTTCTGCCCTGAAAGGGAGAAAAGAGATAATTTTCAACTTGAGTGTCTTTATTCATGCGCAGGTAGCATGCATCATGCAGACCCAGGCGAAGAATGGATAGCTTTTTCCTTTCTCTCGTCCACTCATTCATTCTTCCTCCCATTCACTCTCTCAACAAATACCAAATGCCCGCTGTGGGGCCGGCATTGGGTCAAGTGCTGGAAACAAAAGAAGTAGCTAGATTTTAGAGAGACTTAGGTAATAAAACTGATGAAATCTAGCTATTTATGTCTCAATAGAAATAGAATATATAAATATGTCAGTGGCAACACCTCATTCCATAACGATTTTTCCAAACAGCTGCATCCTATCTGCTTAGCATTAAACTTTCTCGCTTTTTCCTTTCTGATGCAGTTTAAAAATATTCTGTACATACTCCCATTTTCCTAAGCAGAGCAAATGGAATGAAATTTAACCTTTCTGAATGTCACGGGCTCAACGTTACTCACGATGCCAGCCTTGAACAAGGCTTGCAAAGTGCATTAATCATTTTCCTGCTTCCTTCTCTTCTGCTTTTACTCTTCTTGCCGTTGCCGGGCTGCTGTTTCTATACAATCTGGTATTTGCTACAGACAGGGCTTCGGGGCACAATCCTGCAAATATGGTTATGTGGCAAACAGTTAATATTAGAGGATGTATGATCTCCAAATAAATGTGGTATTTCACTGTGGAGTGGGTGGTGTGTGTGTGTGTGTGTGTGTGTGTCTTAGAATCCACATCAAGACACGCTGAAAAAGCTTAAAATGTATACTAAGGAAAAATCCCACAGTTTACAAAAATGAGGAAAACTTATAGAAGAATCTAACAATTTAAGTGGCAACAAAAATAAACATCAATCTTAGGCCGGGGTGGTTTTGTGTTCCTTCTGTCTCTGTAGTTAGTGGAAGGCCAGAGCAAGGCCCATGCCCGTTTCTTTAGCTTTAAACTCCTCCGGTTTGTATTATTTAATGGTAATATTCTTATCTCTTACAGGCAAAAAGCAATTATGTAACCTGGAACTTTGTTCCTAACCTAGTCCCCTGGATTTTGCTTACTTCACACACATTCTCTTTACCTTTGTGTAGAGTGGCTGCCATGTGACCGGCTAATCACAGTAATTTCCACATCAAGCCTCTGAGGTCAGTAGTTTAATCCCAATTTTATAGGTAAGAAAACTGACATTCAGAGATGTTAAGTACTTTGTCCCAAATCCCACACAGAGAGTCATGGGTGGACTTGGGACTGGAACCCAGGCTTCCCAAGCTCTAAAGTCCAGCCTCTTCTCAACATGATTTTTTTGTGTGTGTGGCAAAATGTGCATACTACAAAATGTATCATTTTCATAATTGCAAAGTGTACAATTCAGTGACATCAAGTACTTTCACAATGTTGTACAATCATCACCACTATCATTTCCAGAATTATTCATCATCCCAACAAGTGCCCATTAAATAATAACTTTCCATTCCTCCTCCCCTACCCCCTGGTAACTTCTAGCCTACTTTTAGTGTGAATTTGCTTATTCTAGGTACCTCAAATATAATATTTGTCCTTTTGTGTCTGGCTTATTTGTCTTCAAGTTTCATTCATGTTGTAGCATGTGCTAGAATTTCCTTCCTTAATTGCATGTATGCACCCACCACATTTTGTTTATCCATTCATCTGTTGTTGATAGATACTTGGGTTGCTTTCACCTTTTGAGTACTGTGAATATAACTATGAACATCAATATACAAGTATCTCTTCAAGACCCTGCTTTCAATTCTTTTGGGCATATACCTAGGAATAGAATTGCTGGAACATATGGTACTGCCCTGTTTTCAGCAGGGTTAAGAACCCCCTAAAATTGTACAAAAAATTTAACATGATGGGGCAACCTGGGGGGCTCACTTGGTTGAGAATCTTACTTTTGATTTTGGCTCAGGTCATGATCTCAGGGTTGTGAGATCAAGCCTTGTATTGGGATCTTCACTCATCAGGGAGTCTACTTGAGATTCTCTTTCTTCCTCTCCCCTTGCCTCACTTCCCACGCATGCACTCACTCTCTCTCAAATACATTATATAAAAAAATTTAAAGTGGTATAAGATATACACATAAGTTACACTTTCATGTGGAAAGAGTCCATGATAGTTTTTATAAGAGTTCCAAAGAGGTGCATGAGCTGATCCCCTTAGGAGACCACAATTTTCTTTTTTTTTTTTTTAAGATTTTATTTATTTATTCATAGACACACACACACACACACACATACAGAGGCAGAGACACAGGCAGAGGGAGAAGCAGGCTCCATGCAGAGAGCCTGACGTGGGACTCCATCCAGGGTCTCCAGGATCACGCCCTGGGCTGCAGGCGGCGCTAAACTGCTGCGCCACCGAGGCTGCCCAAGACCACAATTTTCTTATAAAGTATTCCCCTGAAAGTTACTAGCAGTCTTTCTGTGTCACTCTTTCTGTCCTTGATAGTAAAACAGGAAGAGAAAGACTGAAAAAAATAATATTCATCAGAGTCCAGAGAATAAAACTATATTAAAATTGAGCAGAGATGCCAGTTGGTAGTAGATATTTCTTCTAAGTAGCATCAATATTATCTTATTATACAATAAAACAAACTGTGTGTATTAGTCGGATAAAGCTGGTGTTTTACTATTTTACTGGCTGAATGCTAAAGGAAGTTGGATGTGAGCTCACAGTTTAGTTGGAACAAAGATGAATGATCAGCTATTTGTATTTTAACAATTTCTTTCATGAAAGGCATTGGGTATATATCTCTTTGTGATCCTTAATTCAGTGGTAAAATAATTTCAGTCAAAACTTTACAATAGGGATTAAAGGGTTGGCTGAAGTATCACAGAACAAGAAAACATAGAGGTCTCATTAAATGAGGATTACATCTTTTAAGCAAGACGGATGAGAGGAGTCAGACCTTCCCTTGGTGAAGAACTGGAAAGGGATTAGGAAAGTAACTTTAGAAACTTAAATGTCACTTACCTAAGGTCATTTATCTAAGAAAAAAATGGCCACAGGAAGGAATTAAGGAGAACTATGGCAGAACTATTCATGCAACCCCTTAGCCCACAGCTGGATTATATCTCCTAGTGTCCTCTGTGGTTAGATGTGACCATGTGACTGAGCTCTGGCCAACAGAATGAAGGCAGCCGTGATGTCTTCCATGAGGCCCATAAAGACTTTCTACCCACAGTTTTCCTCTCTTCCTCCATCCACTGGCTGGAAGGAAAGGTCTGATATGTGGGCACAGCCACAAGATATAAGAAATCTGGGTTCCTGACTCACCTCTTTAAGGCCATCCACCAAATTCTTTATTGGACTTTACAAAAATGAAAAACTTGTACTGTGTTACATCATGGAGAGTCTGGAGTTTAAATGCATACAGCCACTAATTTTTAAGTTGCCCAACACAGGAACTTAATAGAATAGAGCCAATCCTCATTATTTGCAGTAGTTATATTCTATAAAGTTGCCAGAGACACCGAGTTAGCAAATACTGAACCACTGTGCTTCACAGAAACACAAAGAGTTAGACTCCTCTGGACATTTAGTCACAAGGCTTTTGTGAATTCACTAATACAGATTCTTGTTTTATGTGTATTTCTGCTATAAGACACCTCATTTCATATATATTGTTGGTACATTAACTTGAACTCCATGCCAACAGCATTATACCTCATGCCTAGATGAAGGTTCTCTAACACATTTTTTTTTAAAGATTTTATTTGTTTATTCATGAGAACACAGAGGCAGAGACACAGGCAGAGGGAGAAGCAGGCTCCCCATAGGGAGCCCGATGCGGGACTCGATCTCAGGACCCCAGGATCACGACCTGAGCTGAAGGCAGATGCTCAACCACTGAGCCGCCCAGGTGCCCTCTCTACCACATTTTCTCTATAAAGCACAACACAGCCTTTCTGTGCACAACACTAGATCGCACTTCAGCATTATATTTGGGAGGGGCCATTTAAACCAGCAAACTCACCAACAACAAGCACACAAATCCAAAAAACATGGCACTAAATAGCATGTGCAAAGAACACTGGTTTACAGCGTGAGAACTGGAGCAAGCATGCAGAGTGCCGCCTCGTTGGACCTCAGCTGGGAAGCACGTGTGCACGGGGAGGCCCCAGGTTTCCCCCCACTCTGTACATGACAGTGCCGATGAATACTGACTTTGGGGTTGCAAATAGAGTTCAATGAGTAGGTGACTAGCAACCTATGGAATCCGTGAATAATGAGGATCGACCGGATAACTTTCTGAACCCCCTGTATGGGCTCAGCACTGCATCAGGTACTTATAACACACTGTCCCGTTTAATGCCCTCAACAACTCTATGGTAGGCACTGGCTTTTCCTATGATAGAGAACCGAATTTTATCTCAGAGACATTACTAGTTTCCTCCAAGTTTCAGAAAGAGTAACAGAGATGAGTTAAAGCTCTGGCCTCTCTGATCCAAAACCTCACTTCTTGGTTTTAATAACTTGGTGTCATCTAGGTCATATTATCTGCTTCCATTATGCAAAGATTTTTAAATATTCCTGAGACCCTCAGGTGAAAAGGACCTCATATAGGTAAGCATAATTCTTGCACTTGCTCCTCCTGAACCTAGGCATCCTTGCTGTCCTTTCAATTTTATTTTGAGAAATCTGAGAGTAATCAGGTGCCATTGGGCTTCTGTCTTGCTGAACTCCCTGGGATGATGTTTCAAACTCTAGGATTAGAGGGTATTTTTACATGTGGTACTTGATGGCTTTGAAGGCTTTTTCTTGACAGATAAAATAATTAAGCAATTACCTAGAGAAGTATTTGTTAAAATCTGACAGTTAAGAATGCAGAGCTCCAGGAAGTCACAGGCTGTACCATGAGCTCTTTGAAGCTTTGTGCTCTCTCGACACACTTAAAACTGTTATTTTGCTCTGTAATGTATTTTAAAAAAATGCCGAGGATAAAAAAAGCCAGATTCTCAAAGGCTTTTGTGT